TGTAAATTAAAAAGTAATGCGTTACTTTACTAGTTACTTGAAAAAAAGTAATCTGATTACTTAATTTGCGTTGCTTGTAATATATTACCCCCAACACTGGTTATGAATACATCATTGTATTTTAAATGGTAGAAAACCCTGTTTTTGACCTCATAATAAAGCACTTTCCCTCTGTACATGGCTGTGGGGATGAGCAGTTTTGTGGTGTTTGGAATTCTTTATAATTAAAAACAAATATTGCCACGATGGTGGCTCAAGAAGGTGTAATTGTTCAAATAACACATTGTTTTATTTTAAAATATATATATATAAATGAATACAAAAGACTTATGCACTCTCTCTGTCTATATTGTGAAAACAGGTAAAATAAATGAAAAATATTATAACAGTGAAATTCCTAATAGTAATTCCAAATTGCAATAGCTCCTCTATTCAAACAACAGCGGTTGAGTAAGTGGATTTATTCAGCGATCACAATAGCAAACAATACAGTCGAGATCTCATGACAGAACACAGACTGGTTGAGAGACACTTTCATTTAGATCGCTAAACAACAGCGTGTTTGTCGCTGTTTTCAGATAATCGTCACAAAGAGGGCGAGCGCATGGTTGCCAGATTGCTTAAAATAAGCAAAACACCGGACTTTTTCCGTCAACGAAATTGCATGCTGATATAGTCAAAGGTTTCGTTTATTGACCTTATTGTCTTTGTCTCCTCTTAGTCATGGGAAAAAAAGCTTGTCAAAGGGCATTTTTCGTTATAGTTTTCGTTAACGAAATTAACACTAGTCTTCTTATTTTCAGGTCGTTGGCTCTTCAGACTTTTGCTTGATTTGGTTCTTGCAGCAGCTTCTATATTCTGATAATAAACAATGACATTTGATTAATAACAATAAACCATCACACCCATCAATAACTAGTATGAATGCGAACCATGTAGACGTCATCATGTGATCTAATAACAAGCGCAACAACTTAAAAGATATGAGCGACAGGTTTAATTAATCTGTCTGTAAATATATTTATGTTGATGAAATTTTGTGGTCTTGTTGAAGAAACAGCTGCCTTTTATTGTGATTGTACTATAATATAGGCCTAACCAATACATTTTCTTACATTTTTATATTTTTAATATGAGCCACAAATTAATTATTTAAGATATTATTTTTATTACGAAAAATCAAAATCGTTATCTCTTGAATGTTGTTCTTTTTTTTTATTTATGTGCAAAATCTTTCATCCACAAGCAAAACCAGCTTAAATCTCATTTGTTTTCCTCTTTTCTTGTTGAATTTAACTCTCTGGTTTCATCCCTCAGACTCACAAATAACAACAACAACGCAATATTTTGATGCATTGTGATTATATGAATATTGTGATTATTCAAATATATTTAACCTTGTCATTGTGCCTTTTTTCTAACCTCATGATGTATGCAAACCCATTATATTTATGTCTTCTGGTTTTTTTTTTTGTCATTATGATTGTTTATTATTACACATACAGCCATCTTTCCCTGAGCTTGTATGTAATTATACGTTCTGTAGTAATAATAATAAAAAGAAGATAAGAGGGACAGGTGCAGTAACACTTCATAGCATCAGTAACTCCACAAACTATTACGGTTTATCTGCTCAAAGGAGACGTCAATCAGCTGCTGGAAGATCTCGCCTTTGGAGAAGACTGCTGATTTTACACTCAAAAAATGTAAATATTACTTCTTAAAAAATAAGATTACCCCAGAATGCATTGCTAGCCCACCCCAACACTTACAATAATAATAATTAAATGCTGAGCAATAATTATATAGCCTATAAAAATATTGTTTTTGTTTAGTTTTTTTTTAGTGGGGGTCCCTGTAATAAGTCTCTTTGCATGAAAGCATCTGCCAAATGCATAAATGTAAATGCTTTTTTGTCACACACTGTAAAAAAAATTCCTTAAAATTTATGGTAAAAAGCCAGCAGCTGTAGTTGCCGGAATTTTACCGTAAAAAATACAGTAGCAACGTTTTAGGTTTTACGGTTTTAACTTAAATTTACAGTTAAATACCGTAATTTCATTAACTGATATAATGTTAATATACCAACCTACTGAAGTACTGAAATCTGTTTTGTAGCTTTGTAATACACTGATAACCACCAAATGCAGGAGGTGATGAGAAAGTCACATGATGAACCAAAGCCCATCACAAGCAGCTTTTAAATAATAACATATATAGAAGGTGCACAGTGTCATTCACACAAACGCTAAACACCATCACGGTAACACACATGAAACTGAAATAATGCAATAAACATTCATTTAACAACATTAGGTGTAACACACAACCCTAATATACAAAACTGATAAGAAAAAACTAAGAAGAAACATAGTTATTTCAACAAAAAAACATCAAATTTGAAATGTAACGCAGGGAATTCTGGGAATGTCAATTTACGGTTATTCACTGTAAATTATACGGTCTTTTTCACTTCCAAAAACGGTATACTACCGTAAAATTAATGTCCAATACATGTAATGTCCAATACAGTTTTTCACTGTATATAGTAGGGGAATTTACCGTTAACCATTTAACAGGTTTTTACTGTAGCATTTTTACAGTCTTTTACCGTTAAATTCACGGTCATTTTTCAGTGTCTTTTGGTCTTTCTCTAGATGCTCTCGCCGGCTCTGGGGTCACTGAGGATGAAGAGACCACAGCAGCATCCGGTCCTGATGAGGCAGTAAGGGCAGGTGGCTCTATACTATTTCCAGGATGCTGCTCACGCCAGTCTGCAGTCATTTCAGATCATACAAAGATGCACAAACATAATACAAACGCAGTCATTTTAGCAGCACAATGCCATTTGATTTCTGTATTAACCCTTGCACTGTCACCTTGTCTTGCAGGTCCTGCTCCAAAAGCTCTGCAGCAAAGGCACAGAAATCAAGAATCAGAAAAGTGCTGTAAAAAGTGCTCTCCTTGAAATTACAACAGCTAAAATAAACTACAACTTAAGACTTGTATTAATTATCTGTCTCATAGTTATATAATAAATAATATAATTTTAAACGTGTTTAGGGTATTTTATCATATCAGTTTGCATTTGTTTTCTCCTTTCTTTAATCTTAGTCTATTTGAACAATGCTTGAAAGTTGGTATTACGAGCACTTTCTGTGTCTATTTGCCTCTTTAAGATGAACCGCTTGATGTATTCCCCAATTGTAAGTCGCTTTGGATAAAAGCGTCTGCTAAATGAATAAATGTATTTGTTAGTATGATGGTGAAGGGGCTGAGAGAGAGAGAGAGAGAGAGAGAGAGAGAGAGAGCAAGATTTTAGTCTTTTCTTTCACACACAAATCATAATAATATTATTCCAGACCGTTGGTTATATAGCGTTTGAATAATATGGACTACTTTATAATACTTTTGGTGCTTTTTGCCATTTATGGAGCTCAATAACATCAGTCACCATTCACTTTCATTGCATGTTAAAAACAGCGTGAGCTTGATTAAGTATTTATTTTATATATTTTCATTATTATATGCATAATTGCCATGTTGAATGTTTATATTTAAATGAAAATGGATGTCTTAATATTTACTCAGTTAAAATAAAAAACGTTATGAGAAGTGATAAAGCCAAGAAATTATTTGATTTGTTTAATAAGTGTGATTTTGTTTAATCCCCTACATTGTTTATGGTTGCATGAATACATTTAATTAATTTAATTTAATTTAATTTAATTTTATTTAATTTTATTTTATTTTATTTTATTTGGATTAAGGTATATAGTATGATTAATATGAATGTCTCAGTCTGTGAGGACTTACAGTTGTGTTTATGTTAGCCTCTTTTGTTCTGTTATGATGCTTGAAATGCAAAATAAAAAAATAAAATCCGTCGCTGTTTTGTTGACGTCCCTCGCGCGCCAGACCGGCTGGTGGCGCTGCAGTCTCTCAGCGAGCGGAAGTGAGGAAGAGATGCGTGTGTTTACTTTCATTATGAGGTTTCTGCGTTCACTGAGCGTTGTGTGAAGTTTTTATCCGGATGGAGACTGTGCTGAACGGTGACTGCGTGGAGCCCATCGCGGTCCATGATTTCTCGGAGAAGATTCTGGAGCAGCTCGTTCATTTCCATGTGATGAAGCTTAGCGGCGGGTTTTTCCTCTGGATCGGCTCTAGCCCGGTTCTGTCCAACCTGGCCCTGGCCGTCAACAGTAAATATGTGAGTCCTGCATATGTCTGCATACATATATAATTCCCATCATAATCATAATCGTATACCATTGTGCTTACATGTCGTAACATGGTACTTTTTGGTTAGTTTGGTATGTTGTTGTTAGTGTATGTTTACCATGGTAAACTTATGGTAAATCAGTGAATGTACTGGGCAGAGTTTTTGTTTATTATAATTATTTGATTTTGTTTATTACTTGTTTATTAATTGTTGATTATTATTTTATTATTTATTTATTTAGTCATTTAGCAGACGCTTTTATCCAAAGCGACTTACAAATTAATTATTAATTAGTGCTGTCAATCGATTAAAAAAAATTAACTAATTAATCACACAATTTTCTGAAATTAATCGCGATTAATCCCCCCTAACAATAAAGTTTTAAATATACTTTTATATTGCAATAATTTCACATTAAAACATAAAATTAATGTACAAACATAAAGACAGTATATTTTTAGTATTTGTTTAATGGCATCTTTTTTTTAATGATGTATCACTGATACCACCGATGTCTCTATAAAATAGTTTTCCCCCCTAATATTTAACCATTGACTATAGCCATTCAACATTACAGTATAATTGAGAGCTATGAATTTTAACATCTATTAGACTAAAAAATGACTTCTAATTTAAGTGAGCATAAAACAATCTTCATATAAACCCATTATAATGTCATATTTACCTGTGCCCTTCATCAGAAATATACAGAAAGTGAAATTGAAGTTATCAAACACTAAATTCTAAATTAAATACAGATGAATCCTTAAAGCTGTAAAAGTTACTGATTTCCTCTTTTTTGTTCTTTGATGAACGGACATCACAGCAGCTGGTTATTAGGTTGTTTTTGGCTGCTATTACTTTAAGAGCTGCTGCTGCTGAACGTGACGCGGATCTGACACATGCATCTCTTTACCTTTTCTGACTCACTTCAGGTCTTAAAGTCTCTACTAATGAACTGACGAGTTAAATCGAGGGTGTTAGATGAGGGAGACAGTGCTAAGCTGCTCCAGGACCGTTTTGAAAACCATTTCAGAGACATGTTCTTTAAATGTGATCAAATATATTACATGCATGCACAGTTTTAAGGCAGCTTTATTCGCCTTTTTGGTAACTTCATGACTAAACTAACCACGACATTGCATGCACGTAGTATATTTTGCGCTTTCATTCGCTTTGTGCATGCAACTGAAGAGCACTCGTTTGACTCGCGCGGCGCTGAAGTGTAGCGCGCGTCTGAAACTTCTCCAGTTTGATGTGGTTATAAAGACGATCTGCGACTGAATAAATGCACTTCTTGTCAAGAGAAAAAGTGACAGAAGCAGCAGTTTTGAGAGGGGTGGCCAACCCTAGCTCCGCCCCTGCGTTAATTGCGTTAAATATTTTTTAACACGTTAAACTGAAAAAATTGATCGTCTGCGTTAACGTGCTAATTTTGACAGCACTAATATTAATATTTTGAATTAGCTTTCATTATTGTATTTTCAGTTTGTATTTTAATTTTTATTTAAGTTTTATTCATTTTATTATCAGAGGCGGACAAAAGTGAAGTATTTTTACTGTACTTTAAAAGTACATTTTTCAAGTGTCTGTACTTTATCAGAGTGTTTTTCTTTAGAAAACTTTACTTCACAACATTCCAAAGCATAATATTGTACTTTTTACTGCACTACGTTTCATATTAAATATCATTTAATACCTAATTACATTAGAAATCTAGTACTTTCTTACTTTTTACTCAAGTAAAAGTAATTCAAAGTTTTACTTAAGTGCAAGAAAGTACTATATTTTTAATGTTCTTAAGTATTAAAGGTAAAAAACCTTAAAAACTTTTATTTATTAAATGTAGTGCAGTAAAAAAAGTATGAAATTATGCTTTGGAATGTAGTGAAGTAAAAGTTTTCCAAAGAAAAACACTCTGATGAAGTACAGATACTTTTAAAATTTGAGTAAAAGTAAAAATACTTCACTACTGTCCACCTCTGTTTATTATATGCCTTTGTCAGTTTTATATTTAGCTTTAAAGGTCCCATATTGTCAAAACTGAAAGTTCCTGGCGTTTTTCACGATAACTGAGGTCTAGGGGCTATTTAACTACCATATAAGTTTCAAAACAGTCAGTCCACAGTAAAATGCACACAGCCTGCATAAAGTAGCTGTGATTTTTCACGAACCGTTGTGACTTCCGTAAACAGTTGACGTCAGAACTACTCAGTCATCGCCTTCAGTCACCACCCCGAGCACCGCCCACCGTCCCACTCTGCTTTTGCCAAACCCCCAGACAACATCGCGTCTATGCTTTTGCTGAGCATAAGGACATCGAAACCTAAAATAAAACTCCAGAAAGGTGTAAAATATGGGATCTTCAATTCATTTCATTTTTAGTTTGAATAATTTTAACACTTTAACAAGCAAGTTTTTTTTCATATGAGAATTATATTTTATTTCATCTATATTAAAAAAAGAATGGTTTTTGTTTTAGTTAACAATAACAACAAAAGTTTTATTATTTAATTTTATGCTTTTGTCATTTTTATATTTAGCTTTAATTTATTTTTATTAGTTTAGGTTTAGTTATTTTAATACTTGAATTTAAACCTAATTATTTAAGTTATTTGCCAAGGCAACATTTCCAATTGTTTCAAATTTTTAATGTAATATTTATATTTAGTTTTAGCTTTATTTCGATTAACAAATCAATGGACCCTTTTTACAAGACTGTAAAGCCTCGTACACACCGGGACGATTATCACGCGCGCTTATCGCCGACATTTTTCGACGTGACTTTTGTATTCATTTCCAAGCGATTTTCGCTGGCGATGAGCAAATTCACTCCCTGACATTAGATGGCGCTTACTGAAAAACAGAACAAGTCGTATTTTACTATAACTTCAGCATCTCCAGGCACGTGAACAAAAGCGCCAATCTCATTGTTCGGCCAGTTTTTAACGCGGTGCGTCAAACCAAAAAAACGAGCCCGAGGCGTTTTTAAAAAAATTACGCTTTTACGCCTCGCGTTTTGCACGTCGGTGTGCACACTCACAGTGGCGCCCTTTGTTTAGCCACGAGGCGTTAAATGTCGGCGATAATCGCGCGCGATATTCGTCCCGGTGTGAACAAGCCTTAAGAAAAATATCCATATTTACAACTTTATAAATCTTAATCTCTAGCTTCCACTAACTGTCGTACGCTCGTTCATGAGAGAGTGGTGTCCAGCGGATGACGTAGGTGGTAGGCAAACGCGGTGACGAACGCGGAAGTGACGAAGAGAGAGCGAAACAAAACACCAGTCACGAATTAGTAGTACAAAACGAGCGAGGCGTTAAACATCGGCGATAATTGCGTGCGATATTTGTCCCGGTGTGAACAAGACTGTAATGACGCGTTTAACGGTCATCAGCGTCGTAACTTCTCAAAAGTTTTTTATATTTTGATTTTTTTTTTTATTATGTACATTTATAACACTATACTTTGTATTAGGGTTGCAAAAAGGTGGAACATTTCCGGTAAATTTCGGAACCATTCCAGGATTTTTTGGAAATTCCTTTTATTGAAAGTCATGAAAACACTATCGTGGAGTTTTTCTTTTGCTATTTGAGCAAATGGGAATGCAAAAAATATATTTGTGGTACTCTCCCATTCACTGCTCTTCAAGTTAGCCCGACTGTGACGACTTATAAACCCGCAAATGTGAAAAGGGTCCATAGTTTTAGTTAACAGTAACAACACAAAATTAGTCATGTTGTTTTATGTCATTTTTATAGTTATATTTAGCTTGAAATTATTTCTGTTTTAGTCATTTTAATACTTGCGTATTTTAGTTATTTGCCAAGATTTTTTAACAGTGTTGAAATTTTTTTTTTAATCTAGTATTTATATTTTATTTCTATCAGCAAAAACAGTTTTTGATAGCATTATTTTTTATTTTATTTATTATTATTATATTATTTTATTTATTTTTATTTTATTTTTAACACTAGTTGCTGGGAGTACCTACTTCCATTTTAATTTAAAGCAATAAAAAAAATTTGTCTTGTTAACAATCATTTTGTTATTGTCATTGATTTAAAATAGACATTATGATAATATGTGGCCCTGCAGCACAAAAGCAGTCTTAAGTCGCTGGGGGATATTTGTAGCAATAGCCAACAATACATTGTGTGGGTCAAAATTATAGATTTTTCTTTTATGCCAAAAATCATTAGGATATTAAGTAAAGATCATGTTCCATGAAGATATTTTGTAAATTTCTTACCGTAAATATATCAAAACTTAATTTTTGATCAGTAATATGCATTGCTAAGAACTTCATTTGAACAACTTTAAAGATGATTTTCTCAATATTTAGATTTTTTTTGCACCCTCAGATTCCAGATTTTCAAATAGTTGTATCTCAGCCAAATATTGTCCTATCCTAACAAACCATACATCAATGGAAAGCTTATTTATTCAGCTTTCAGGTGATGTAGAAATCTCAATTTCAAAAATTGACCCTTATGACTGGTTTTGTGCTCCAGGGTCACATATTCTCTCGGATTAGTTCTATTTTAAAGCTGAAGGTTCACAGTGTTTCCTGCGGGCAGCTCATATTTTGTGTTTGTTGTTTTTTGCCCAGGATTCAATGCCTCTGTCCGCTCTGGTTCTGGGTGACACGTCAGACACGACACCAAGCTCTCTTGCACAGAGACTCAGTAAGACCTGCTTTAACTGATCAGACCGATCGATCCTTCTGGTTCAGTCATTTACAGACGTGTAATGTCATCAAATCCGAATGTTTACAACAAAACCGTGCCAGAGCTGCTAGAAAACCTGATGTTGACAAACCTAGCGTTCACCTAGTTTCTAGCATTTATTTTTCTCTTTCTTTTCAGCAAAGAAGACAAAGAAACAGGTATTTGTAAGTTACAATTTACCCATGACGGACTCAAATCTAGCACTGCTGGTGGAGAACAGAATCAAAAAGGAGATGGAGATTCATCCTGACAAGTTTTAAACATTTGTTGTTTTACCTGGCGGCGCTTTGTTTGCTTTTTTTGTACATAGCTCAATAAATCTAAAGCAAAAATATTCAGCTGTAACATTATTATTTTGTGTGGTATGTATCTAGTTATGAGCCAAATTTATGAAGGTTTTAGCAAAGACAAACTGGACTGGTCATTTCTTTTTAAATCCAATTATTTCAGGTTTTGTAAACGCTGGAAATATGAGGGGGGTTTTAAACATTCAATTTCCAGACCTTGAAAAGTCATGGGAAGCAATTATTACAATCCTTAAAAGTTCATGCAATAAAAATAGTTTTTTCTATTCTGTAATAGAAAAACTGCTTTGTGTGAGTATTCACAAAAGACAGAAAAAGACATAGAAATGCATTGTGCAAGCTGGTTTCTGCCATAGGATATCAAATAAAAAACGTACATTTATTTTTATTTCACAATTCTGAGAAAAAAAGACATGAAGTTACAATTGCAAGAAAAAAGTCTGAATTCTGAGATAAAAAAGTCACAATAGAAAAATAATGAAAAAAAAAACTTTATTAGCTATAAGTTACAATTAATAGAAAAAAAATTTTTTTTTATGTAAAATTATTTTTTTTATTCCGTCAGAATTGTGATATAAACTTATAATATAAACGATTACGAGTTTATAACTAACTGAAAATTGTGAGAAAGTCGCAGTTCCCTTTTTTATTCCGTAGCAGAAACAAGCTTCCATAAAACCCTGTTATTAAAATATGAACAATGAAATATACTGTATTAAAAAACTGTATTTATTTATAAGTACAATGTCTTCAAATGGACTATTAACATGTATGAAATTCTCATTTAATCCTAATCGTCAAAATGACACACGAGAGTCAAATACAGAAAAATACACTGATGCTTTACAATGTTTCAGTCTCCTGCGTTTGAGTGAATCTCATTCATGCCGGTCCAGGTCATGTTTCATGCCAAATTCAGAATGATTTTTTATTTTTAAAATACTTAGGATTTCATTGCATCGTGACACTTTTTATTTATAATTTTTAATATATTTTTTATTCATAATTAAGATTTTTTTTTTTTTTCACATTAAAATAATATTTTTAGTCCTAAAAATAGGCCATTTGTTTTTGTTATTTTTGGGGTGAAATATGACCTGGAATTGTTTATTTTGTGAGATTGACTCTCTTACGATGTGCTTTAATCAGTATTTGAAGTATTATGGAGTGCTTTAGTGTTTACAGAAAAGGTGAATATTGATTCTGTGCTTATATATATATCCCAGAATCCTGTATAAACACACAATACCTGCAATCACTGTTTAAAACCATGAAGTGTTTCATTAACATCCTAGTATACTGTTCTTAATTTGGTTTCTTATTCAGTAGTTCGAGGAAAACAGGAGCTCTGTGATGTTCAAGTTACTCCACTGCTACTCTACACATTAATAATAATAACAATAATTGCTAAATATACATGAAAACACAATCAGCAGCCCTTCTAGTGGTCGTGCTCCACGTCAGCCCGAGTTCACATTTATGAAACAAGTGAATGTCCGGGTCACATTTCACACCAAATGTAAAAATAAATTCATAAAATAAGTCTGTTTCTGTACTGTGACATTATTTTCATTTTCTCCCCTCCTGCCAAATCTCATTACCACAATGCAATAAAAAATCTTATCATCGTAATGCATCTGCACATTATACTTTTGTACTTTGTTTTTATTATTCTAATGATCGTCATTAAATTCTCATTACTTTAATACAACGATATTTTACTTATTAGCGTTTCAAATCTAAAAAAGGCTTCATTTTCTTGATGCACAATATCATTTATTTTTCATCTATATTGTATTTCTTTTTATTTTGATGTGAAATGTGTCCCGTGACACTTTCCTGACAGGTTTCAGCCCTGTAACTGGTTATTGAGCTTGTGAATGTTTGCATGTTAACCCTTGTACGTCCTTAGGGACTTTTAGTCTTTTTCATGTTTTGTTTTTTTATCATTTTGAGTGTGTTAATGCAAACAGTGTAAATTTGGTCAAAAATGTGTATTTTTATTAGAACCTTAATATTTCACACCCATTTCCTTTCATAAATCTATTTTATACTATGTACAAAAATAGTTGCACTCAGGACCTCATTGAAAATAATGTCCCAATGGAAACCCATTAAAACTGCAATATTTAATCCTAGTGCTATTTAAGCATAAAATCATGCACTCTGTTGGCAATTTTTAAAATTCTTATGATTTTCCACCTGATTTTCTGCTTCTGCCTAAAAAAATTGAAATTGAATTATATTTGTAATTTTTTTTGACACTGCACAAAATAATGCATCAACATTAATGTTTTTGCTAATCACTGACATATCCAAGACTGTAAAAAATAAAAAATCTCCTTAGCATTTAGTATATGCAAAATAATTAATTTAATTTTTCATTAAAAAAACAACAGTGGCATTATATAAACAAACTAGCATTTAAAGGGTTAAAATCATGAAAATTACTTAAGTTTTGGTAGTTTTAGGACAAGGTCTATATCAGTGAAAGCAGAAAAAATATTAGTATATAATATTTTATGACATTTTTTTTTTTTTTTTGTCTTCTAAGAACCTCTATGTAACTTTTTTAAATTGACGCACAAGGGCTAAGAGCAGACCATTAAGTTGTGCTGTTGTTGTTTTTTTTTGGTTTTTTTTTACAGCCATCATCTGTCCAGTCGTGGTTTCACACACGTTCAGTTCAGATTCATCTGGCCGACTCGTGATTGCTTTTCTAGTTTTAGTGCAAAACAGACAGACTAAAAAAACCTGAACATAGTGAGGTGCACACGAATGGCGAACTTCATTCATGAAACATGAGCAAAACATATTTGTTGCGCTTAACAGCCATTCCTACGAATGAGAAGAATTAGTGTTTACTAAACAATTTGTGCACATATTTTGTACACTTGTGTGTCATGAATATGGAAGCTTGTTTCTGCCACAGGATCAAAACATTTTTAAAAAGTAATTGCGACAGAATCGCGAGGCATAAAAAATAAGATAGTCTGCTTTATGAGATATAAACTCGTAATTCTGACTTTTTATCCTGAATTGCAATTTTATCTCATAATTTAGACTTTAATTATGACTTTATAATTCAGACTTTACAAACTCACAATTCTGAGTTTTTCTCATAATTGTGAGATCTAAACTCATCATTTTGACCTTTTTTCTCGCAATTCTGTTTTGTTTTTTTTCACCACGGAATAAAAAATTAAATTGGTAATTGCGACTTTTCAACTAAAAATTCTAACTTTTTTCTCAGAATTGCGAATTTATATCTTGCGATTCTGACTTCTCCCAGGATTGCGGCATTAAATCTTGCGATTCTCAGTTTATATATTGCTATTTTAACTTTTTTCAGAATTGCAACTTTAAATCTTGCAATTCTGACTTTTCTCTGAATTGTGGCATTAAATCTTGCGATTCTCAGGTCATATTGTGCGATTTTTACTTCTTTCAGAATTGCGAGTTTATATATTGTGATTCTGACTTTTCTCTGAGTATATATCCCACAATTATTATTTTTTTTACTTAGAATTGCACATTTTTTTCTTAGAATTGCGAGAAAAAAGTCGGAGTTGTGACTGTGAGAGAAAGTTACGAATACCTTTTTTTATTTTATTTTCCTGTGGTGGAAACAATCTCCTGTACATGAATAAAGTCCGCCGGTTCTTACAGTCAACGTCATTCTGTCCTTATAATAAATACCAAACATTTACCAAACGTACAAAACAAAACGCATTCAAATCAGTGAAACTCCTCCGTGAGGTTGTTGTTCGGTAGTGGCCATTCGAAAAATAGAGCTCCTTTCGCTAAACGCAAGTTAAAATAACATTTCCAGTTTGTACAATGGTAAGAATTTTTCACCGATGCTGGTTAATGAGGCGTTTGACACTTTACCACGACATCAGTCGCATTTCGCAGTTTAAAAAAAACGAATGAGTGAAACTCGTTCTCGACAATCGCTCTTCGTTCGGCCATATTTAGCAAACGCCGTCATGAAATCCTCACGCCATTGGCTGTGCTGTTGCTAGGCACCGAGCCGTTGCCGGGGTTGACGACCTGGTGAAGGGGCGTGTCCTGAACGCGCGAATACTCCCTGACCTCGGTCCTGGCCAGTAGGTGGTGCTGTTCTCCGGGGAAGATGGGCCGCCGCAGAAGCCCCTCCCCCTCAGCAATAGTCTCGGGCAGCGGTTGGCTGGCGGTTTCCGGGAGCAACGGTATGCAAATGATGCAGAGCAGAGTGCAGCAGGTGAGGATCACGTGATGCAGGAAGAAACCCTTCTGATTGTGGAGCTCCATCAGCGGCGCTGTTAGCATACCGAAACCTGCGCTCGCTAGGACCAGACCCACTCCTCCACCCCTGTTACGACAAAACCCACAGACAACCGTCAAAACATCGGGTGATGATCAGGTTAATACTACTTTAATTATTGGTGTTTACAAAATCAAGCTTGTAAGTATAAAGACATGAATGAATCCTCAGTAACACTAAGGTGTCATTTGTTTACATTAGCTGAGGATGAAATATAGTTTGTTAATTTCGACATTTACTAAAACCAGGGATAGTATATTTAAACAAAAAAAATAGAATCTAATTTAAAATATTAACGAAAACTCTTTTATTAACAAAAACTGCATTTCTCATTTGTTTAGTTTAACTTGAGGTACTATAATAACTAAAGCTAAAGAAACTAAAAGGAATAAATAAAAAGTAAATAAATATAGACATTTTAAAAAATAAAAAAAAATTACAAAAACGCAAGATTACTAAAAAAATGTAACCAAAATTATAATGAAAGCAAACTAATAACAAAATTTAATTCAAAATATTAATAAAAACTATTTTGTTAATAGCAATTGAAATACTAAAATAACAAACTAAAACTAAAATGAACGAATAAAAAATATAGACATTTAAAAACTAAAACTAATAAAAATGACAAAAACAACAAAATTACTAAAGCTTTAAGTAAAATTAATGTGAAAGCAGAAACTATAAAAACAAAACCTAATTCAAAATATTAACAAAAACTACAGTATATTGTTAATAGCAAAAACTACATTTCTCCAATTCATTAAGTTTAACTTAAAGCAATGAAATAACTAAAACTAAAATACAATAAAAATTTATAAAAATAGACATTTAAAAAATAAACGAAAACTAATAAAAATGACGAAAACAACAATCACTAAAACTTTATCTAAAATTAAAATGAAAACTAAACTAGAATACTATAGCAGTATATTAATGATACTAAAATAACACAGACTAATACATTAGTAAAATCAATATCTGTTAATATTATTTAATGGACCTAAGATAAATTAACAACAACAAAAAAAAGTTTTATTTTTAGTAACTAATAAATAACTATTAAATTAATTTATTAAACTTTTCTTTATTAAATTTAGTGATTTAATCAACTTACTGTTGTATTGGTTTAAATTAAATTAAAAATTTAAATTTATTAAAACTTATTTTAATTAGTTTAACCCTTTAACTGTCATCCACATTTTTGAAAATTCACGAGAAAGTGCACTATACAAACTTAAATTATTATAATTCATGATCGCTTTTGAATACAGAACTAAGGTTGGTCTCTTTTTAAAGACGACAATTAGCAGAGTATTACAGAAGTGAAATCATTTCATAAATTGAAAGTATTAAAAAATTATAGAAGTTTAAATTTACTGTAAAGAAAATGTACTATTTTTATTTTCTTTTATATAAAATATAAAAAAAAAAAGTAAAAAATACAAAGTTGCTATCAAATTAAAGCCATATGTCTACATAAGTTGTGTTCCAAATTTGAAGTTGATATTAAAAAATTGAGGTGCATATGCAATTTTGTTTAGGCGTTATACCATACAGACATAAGGTTGGTCTCTTTTTAAAGAAGACAATTAGCAGAGTATTACAAAAGTGAAATAATTTCATAAATTGAAAGTATTAAAAAATTATAGAAGTTTAAATTTACTGTAAAGAAAATGTACTATTTTTATTTTCTTTTATATAAAATATAAAAAAAAAAAGTAAAAAATACAAAGTTGCTATCAAATTAAAGCCATATGTCTACATAAGTTGTGTTCCAAATTTGAAGTTGATATTAAAAAAATTGAGGCTCATATGCAATTTTGTTTAGGCGTTATACCAAAAAAGCCATTGACATTTTTTTGATGCATTTCTGTTACAAATCTATCAATTTCTCTCTCAATATTACGTCTTTTTGTGACAAAGGTCTGAGCTCCTATGATTTGTCATAGACTCTTGGTGCACTCTTGTCATAAATGAATCTATTGCTGTTCCTACATAATTTGTAACAAACAATAATGGTATAATATCTATTTAGGAGTCTTAGACCTTTCCAGTGATATAGTTTGTCATGCTTACATTAGGATTTAATTGTAACACAGTGAAGGGGACGGTGACAGTTAAGGGGTTAAATGAGTTTCTTACACTAATAAACAAGCGTTGATTAATGGGAGCTCAGTGTGAAGTGTTGTGTATTCCTCAGATCAGACTGGAGTCTCTGAGGCGCTGACCTGATGACCGTCGGCGTGATCTCGGCGCAGTAGAAGATGCTGAGTGTGCTGACGGCATGAGACGAGAACATCCCGATGATGGAGAACGCGTACGAGAAGCGCTGGTTCAGCGAGTCCCGCTGAGCTAGGACAACATAGACAATATATTAATACATACATATACACTGTCGGTCAAAAGTTTGGGATCAGAAGGATTTTTAATGTTTTTTAAAGAAGTCTCTTCTGCTCATCAAGGCTGCATTTATTTGATCAAAAATACAGGAAAAAAACAGTAATCTTGCAAAATGTAATTACAATATAAAATAATGGTTTCTATTTTAATATCCTTTAAAATATAATTTATTTCTGTGATGCAAAGCTGAATTTCCATCAGCCATTACTCCAGTATAAAGTGTCACATGATCTTCAGAAATCATTCTATTTTACATCATAATAATATTTCACAATATTACATTTTTTCCTGTATTTTTGATCAAATAAATGCAGCCTTGATGAGCAGAAGAGACTTCTTTAAAGAACATTAAAAATCGTTCTGATCCAAACGTTTGAATGGCAGTGTATGTATATACATATCCAGCGTTTCCCAAACCTACAGTAACCTCAGTAAATCACTGCACGTTCTAGTGCAGATTGTTCTTAAATTAATTCTTGTTGCATCCAAATCAACATCACAATTTATGTAAAAATGGAGTGTACATAGAAATATGTGCTCATGTTTCATGAATGAAGCCCATTCTTCTTTCATGAAGTTGCATATATAAGTATAACCTAACTTTACCCGCTCCTGTAAAGCAGTATATACTACTATATAGCTACTATATAACTCAACTTCTTGATTATATCCTCACAAAATGTAACTATATTGTTATATGGCTCTAATCTGATAAATGTAAGCTATAAACAATAAAAAGATGATTTTCTGTGAAGATTATTTTGAAAAGCATTACACGTCAAACTAAATTGACTTTTATTTTCTTTCCTCAAAAAGGGAACATAAAAATCACAACATTATTCACAATTACTTCATTTACTGACGTCCCTAATATTAAGTCATAATTGATAGGTTTGAAAAAAAAAAATGTCCTCCTAATGTACATGTAACACTGGTGGGAATAATACACTGAATATAAAACATAAAAATTAATATGTATATAAGATATAATATATGGTAGCCTGTTTCCAGAATAAATGTACCTTTTGTTTAAAAAAAAAAATAAAAAATTTCAGTGTTTTTTATACCTTTTATTAAGAATTATGACAAATATAAATTATAATATTATGTATAATTTATAACTCAAAATGTTTAAACCGTATTATAAACCATACTATCTAGCATAAGTACTTTTTATTTATTAATTTTATTAATTTATTAATTTAAATATATGCATGTATTTATTTTAATCATTTTTTATGTATTTATTTATTTTAATCTAATGTTTTATTTCTGCATTATTTTAATCTAATTTGTATGTATTTATTTATTTTAATCTAATTTGTGTGCATTTAATCTATTTTTTTATTTTTATCTAATTTTTGTTTGATTAAAATAAATGCATACCTAAAAAAACGATTGAAAAAAAATAAATGTAAATTAGATTAAATGTAAAATGTTTTTACTAAGTATGCATGACAAAAAGAAACTTTTCTCCCTAATGTATATAAATTACCTATTATAAATAAATTAATTAATAAAAATGTATACTATTATGTATCATTTATAACCTGAAATATTTCACATGTATTAGTAGAAATTAACATGTAGAATTAACATTTAATGCTGTCTTATTCATGTTATCTACAGTATTGCATTAACTATGCACGATTATTGAAATGCATTGTATTATTTGACTTTAGCATTGTTTAGTCTCTGCTGTCACAACAACAAAATATGTAATGCATAGTATTACCTGCATCGTGCCATAGACTGTACTTGCCGATCACTGCATTAGGAGAGAGAAGACAGCCGTTAGTACCGGTTCAGAGGCGGATGCTCTGCGTCATCATGTGCTGTACTGTACGTACGGTTGAGCAAACCCAGCTGCAGCAGCGACGCCAGAGCCGTGATGATCATGAAGGTGAGCAGTCCTCCTCTCCTGCCGAAGCCAGCCACCACCGGGAACAGCACCATGCAGGAGGCCACGGCGATCGCCGCTAATGCGTAATAATGCAGGTGAGATGCGCTGCCCTCCAGAACGCTGCGCGCAAAGCAGTGATGGATGCCATAACCTGTCAACCTGAGTGTCCAGACCAGAACAAACACACAATCAGAGCCTAAAGAGAGCGCTTATATAGCACAACCCTGCAGGTGAAATCATCCAGATCAGTGCTGGGGGGTCCGTGGAACCGTTTAGAGAAGTAAAAGACAATGTGAAAGTCTAGAAATAAATAAGAAGAAATATGATTAAGATAAACTGTTAATTAAAACAAAATTGTTCAAATAAAAACATAATTACATAAAAATTTGATTAAAATAAAAATATTTTAATCATTACTAGTTGTAATATTTTTATGTATTTATTTTCACCTGATTTATGTTTATTTTAATCTAATTTTATGTATTCCATTTTTTATATGAAGCTAATTTGTATGTATTTATTTTAATCAAATTGTATTTATGTATTCATCCCTTTTAATCTGTTTTTTTATTTTTGTATTTATTTTAATGTAATTTATATTTATACATTTTAACTTTATGTATTTATTTATTTTAATCTAATTTTCATGTATTTAATTTAATCTTTTTCTGCGTTTATTTATATGTATTTATTTATTACGATTTTTATGTACGCATGTATTTATTTGAATTTATTTTTATGTATTTTGATATTTGAATCTTTATTTATTTTAATCTGTTTTTATTTTACTCTAATTTTTAAAAATAAATAAATACATAAAATCTCATTAAAATAAATAAATATAAATGACATTAAAATAAATATATAAATTAGATTAAAAAAAAATTAATAAAATAAGCAAATAAATAATACATCTAACAGAACTGTACTATGAGAAGAAAAAAAAGCAATAATGTAACTTTACAGAAACTATTTTCCAAAAAATATTTTAGATAATCTGTAGTAGTATTTTTTATTTTTTTTTCACAGTAGAAACTGGTTCTTTATATACTATACTATACAGATGCCTTTTAAATGTTAGCATAAAGATGATTATACTTGAGGGTCTGTGGTCTCTAAGATTGAAAACCCTGATTTAGATGATAAACTATTTCCCAAATTTGAGCATGCAACACTCAAGAATCAATCCCAGAATGCATTGCAACTGCAAGTTTAGTGAAAGCATGTTTTAAGTTTAGAAATGTTCTACTTACCTGCCGAAAGGTACTGATAGATAAACCCAGTACTAGTGAAATCTAATCTGAACTCACGAGTTGACGCAGAGGACGACGGTGTTCTTCCACAGGTTTCTGGTGCCACTCAGCTGCGTCACGCAGAACGTCTTCGGCTTCTGCTGCAGTTCAGTCTCCAGCTCTGCAAAACCATCATCATCATCATCATCCTCCTCCTCCTCCTCGGGCTGCAGGTAAACACACTCACAGCTGTGCTCACCTGAGAGGATGCCGCTGGAGTCGGTTGCCGTGTCGACGCTGTTGCTACGGGCGATGCGGAACATCTGTCGCTTGGCTCTTTGATAATGCTGAGTGACCAACAACCAGCGCAGAGACTCCGGAAACATCCTGAGCAGAGTTACACTGAAAGCTGCTTATTCTGCCCACAAACTGACCACTTGCACCGCAAAAAAAAAAAAAACGATTTTCTTGTTTTCCAGTACAAACTTCTACAAATTCTTAAATCAAGATATATTTACTTTGGAAGAAAAATGACTTTTCCAAAAAAAAAAAAAATACACTGACAACATAGAATTTCTGAAGAAATTACAAATTTCATGACACTAGTGTAAAAAAAAAAAAACTATAATAAATTAAATAGCTGAAGATTTATGAATTCATTTGATTAGACATGCTTTTAATGAATGCTGTTTTTATTGACCCTCTTTTTTATAAACAAAAGAGTTTATATAATACTTGCATATCATAATAAAAAGGACAAAAAACAAGTAAACAATTAGAAAATCATACAAAAAACTCCTGTTGCAACTGTTGCAATGAGTGTTTCAATTAACATCCAATTCTGTAAACATATTTTTGTTTATAACGATTTAATAAAACCATTAAAACGGAATCCAGAAAAATTCAAATGGAAAACGACCGAATTTGGGAAAAATGAAACAGAATTCATAGGGCGCTAGAAAAGTGCATTTTTGTTCAACTTTAAATACATTTTCGTCAAATTGTGTATTTTTCATGATTTCAAATAATTTCCAGAAAAATCCAGAAACATTCCAATGGAATATAAAAGGAATTTGGAAAAAAATAAATCAGATCTTAAAAAGAATTATCTACACTAAGTGAGTTTACAATTAAAACAAAGAAAAATATCTGTAAAAGGACAAAAAAAAATCATCTTGATTTCCCTTTGAATTCTGTTTTTCTTAACCATAAACTTAATTTTGATACATTCTTGAGAAAACAAGACTTATATCTTACGTAATTCTGCTTCTCAAGTAAATGTATCTTGGTTTAGCAATGTTTAGATGCTTGTACTGGGAAACAACAAGACAGAAATACTGAATATGAAAATCATTTTTTGCAGTGCAGACACAAAGAGACCACATCGATCACAGTTTTCCTTGTTTTTATGTGTGGTTTCGAGATGATTAAATGTGAAATAGATTATAGACTAAAATAATAAACCGGTGCAAAAACGATTTTTATACAGAAAACACTCAAGTATAAAAAGAAAATGTGGTCAAAATATCTGTCCGCCCAAAAATAATAATTATTTCACAGCCACTTACTTAGTATTTTTGTCTTGTTTCTAGTCAAAATATCTAAAATAAATCTTAAATTAAGATGCATTTACTTGGTAAGCCAAACGAAATAAGATATTAAAAAAACTAAATTAAGTGCATTTTGCTTAAAACAAGTAAAATTATCTGCCAGCGTATGTAAACTATTCTTAAAACAAGAGAATTTTACTTGCCCCGTGCACTGGCAGATACTTTTACTTGTTTTAAGCAAAATGCACTTAATTTAGTTGTTAAAATATAAAATGTATTTCACAGGGCCCTAAAAATGTAATTGTTGTTACATTTTTAATAAACTGTTGTTAAATTGTATCTGATTTCAAATGTTTTTGATTACTAGAATTTTATTAAACGAAACTCATTTTAAAAAGAATCCACAAAAAAAAAATTATAATTTCATAGGGCCCCAAAATTGTTATTTATTTAATCAACTTTTGTTCAATTGTATAGGTTTCCCGATTTCAATTAAGTACAAGTTTTATTTTTTATTTTTTTATTGCTAACATCTAATGTGACCATTAAAACAAAATCCAGAACATTTTTTTTAATGAATTTGAAGGAAATAAAACTTCTTTCAAAGGGCCCTAAAATTGTAATTGTTGTTCAACTTTTAATAAGCTGTTGTTAAATGGTATACATTTCCTGATTTCAATTAATTAGAATTATTCCATTTAAATACAATTTTAGGGGGTGCCTAAAAAAGCAATTAGCCTTTTTTTGATTGCTAAAATTAATTTAACCATTAAAAAAAGAAACAAATTATAAACATTGAGTTTGCTTAAAACAAGAAAAATATATTATTTTCCCTTCAAATTCAGTGTAGTTTTCTTACGCCAATGACAGATATTTTTTTCATTTTAACTCACTTAATATTAATTGTTTGTTTTTTCGCTTAGAAACAATATCTTATATCGTTTGGCTTACCAAGTAAATGCATCTTAATTTAAGAAGTTTTAGATATTTTGACTAGAAACAAGACAAAAATACTAAGTAAATAAGCCTTTTTTTTTTTGCAGTGCAGAAAACAAACTGGAATACAGTTTTGCATGAGGATATCTAGTTTACTTGCTATAAAATATGAATAGGCCACAAACATGGTAAAGTTCAGCAAATTAGTAGTTCAGCTTGTAAACAGGATTGTGTTATGCATGTCACTAGTCGTGTGTGTCTCATGCATCAGTGTTGTTTTATTGAGCGTCTTACCAGACGTACGGCAGCATGAGCACAAACGGGGCGATGATGACGATCTGCAGGATCTGCCAATCACGGCACAGCGCCGCCAGACCGGGCATCAGCAGCTGGCCGCTCACGATGATCAGGCTGGCGATCATGGTCATGGAGAAACGCCACGCGGGCAAACACAGCTCGATCCCTGAGGAAATCACCTCTTTCATTAGCACAACCTAATTAAACCATTACAACCGAATCAAGAAAAATATCAAAAACACAGAATTTGAAAAAAAAAAAAAAAAAGAAAGATTTTCAGAGGGCTCTAAAATTTTAACTGCTGCTACTTTTAATGAACTGTTGTTAAATTGTATCTGATTTCAAATAGTTAGACATGTTTTTGATTACTATGATTTAATTAAATGAATCTAAACGAAACTGATTTGAAAAAGAATCCACAAAAAAAATAAAAAATCGAAAATTTGGGGGGGAAATAAAATGGATTTCATAGGGCCCCAAAATTGTAATTTATTTAATAAACTTTTGTTAAATTGTAAAAAAAATAAAATAAAAACAGAATTTGGGAAAAATAAAATTATTTTCAGAGGGCTCTAAAATTTTAACTGCTGCTACTTTTAATAAATTGTTGTTAAGGTGTATAAGGTTCCTGATTTCAGTTAATTAAACATTGTTTTTAATAAAACGAGACATGATTACTAACATTTAATTTAACCATTAAAACAATATTAAAATTCAATTTAAATTAAACCGATTTCATAGGGCCTTTAACTTAATAAACTGTTGTTAAATCATTTAAGTTTGCTGATTTCAATTAATTAGACATGTTTTTTATTAATAAAAAGTAAAATATAAAATGTATTTCACAGGGCCCTAAAAATGTAATTGTTGTTACATTTTTAATAAACTGTTGTTAAATTGTATCTGATTTCAAATAGATAGACATGTTTTTGATTACTAGAATTTAATTAAACGAATCGAAATTAAAGTAATTTTAAAAAGAATCCACAAAAAAAATTAAAAATCGAAAATTTGGGGGGGGGAATAAAATGGATTTCATAGGGCCCCAAAATTGTAATTTATTTAATAAATTTTGTTCAATTGTATAGGTTTCCCGATTTCAATTAAGTACAAGGTTTGTTTGTTTTTTGATTGCTAACATTTAATGTGACCATTAAAACCAAATCCAGAAAAAAATTAAATGAAACATGGAATTTGAGAAAAATAAAACATATTTCATAGGGCCCTAAAATTGTAATTGTTGTTCAACTTTTAATAAGCTGTTGTTAAATTGTATACATTTCCTGATTTCAATTAATTAGAATTATTCCATTTAAATACAATTTTAGGGGGTTCCTAAAAAAAGTAATTTGCCTTTTTTATTATTGCTAAAATTAATTTAACCATTAAAAAAGAAACAAATTATAAAAATTAAGTGAGTTTGCTTAAAACAAGAAAAAAAATATTGTTTTTCCTTCAAATTCAGTGTAGTTTTCTTATGCCAATGACAGATATTTTTCTCATTTTAACTCACTTAATATTAATACGTCTCAGAAAACAAGACTTATATCTTATAAGTTATTTTATAATAACTTAGTAAGTTATTTTCCTCTTAAGTAAATGTATCGTGACTTAATACTGTTTGAAAACGCTATCTATCCTGTATAATATTCTATAATGGTGAGTGAATCCCAAATCTTGTGTTCTCTTATGAATGCCAAAAGCACTGGGCTGTTGATGTTTCTGATGTATTTTAAGTACACACTCGTGCATACTTTTTAGGTTTTATGATTCTTTGTTTCGTTTTTCAGTGGTACACAGCGCCACCTAGTGGACTGGAGGGTCTGAAGGATCACGTTGCACTGAAGACTGGAGTAATGATCCTGAAAATTCAGCTTTGATCACAGAAATAAATTACATTTTACAACTCATTCACATAAAAAACAGCGATATTAAATAGTAGAAATATTTTAGAATTTTACTGTATTTTTAATCAACTAAATGCAGCCTTGGTGAGCAGAAAACATTTAGTTAGTCAGTGTCTCTCTCCTAATTCCTCCTCCTCTCAGTCAGACAGAAATCGATCCGCTTCAGAGAGACTTTGACAGTCACACAGTGAATGAAATGGACAGAGTTCAGACCGCAGCGTAACGTGATCCCACGACTCTATTCACGTGTGAGTAACTGCTCCAAACCAATCCCAGTGGATCAATTTCTCATCTCATGAGCGCATATTAAACCAAGAAGAGATGCTGATTATTCTTTATATTAAACACAACAGCTTTCTGAGCCAAAACTAATTCTGTCAGAGTGAAGATGCATTTAGAGATACTGGATTTTTATATTTTTAAGAAAGCATTTTATTGTCCAGCAGGTGAAAATGGTGATGATTGATTTGGCAAACACCAGTAATAAAAGGCCGTATTTTTATTATTTTATTAAAGTGAAGCTCTAGTTAATGTTATGGCTGTTTTTCACTCACTGTAAATCGTGAAGATATATAACTGAAAAGCTTTTGAGAAAACTGAGCACTGTAAAGCACCGGACTTCAAATGTCATCTGAGTCTGAGCGAAGCAGAAAGTGGCTCCATTAGAGCAAATTAATGAACTCGGAGGTGTTCTGGCCATTAAACACACACACACACACACACACACACACACTCTCACAC